CCGATTTAGAAGTGGATCCCGCTTGCGGAGCCGATTTAGAAGTGGATCCCGCTTGTGGAGCTGATTTAGAAGTGGATCCCGCTTGCGGAGCCGATTTAGAGACCGGAGTCGTTTTGGGCTTGGCTTTCGGGGAAGCTCGGGCCTGCTTATGGGGACGGGAGGATCCGGTGCTAGGAGCGGGAGATGCACTACGCGGGCGTTTCGCAGTCGACGAATCCGCCCCACGTACCGTCGGAAGAGGAGCAGAGACGCTAGCAGCCTGAGAGGGCCCCGACAAGGGAGGAAGTGGATCCGAGACGGCAGCTGTCACCAGCGCCAGTCGTCGACGTGCCAAATCGCGCTCCGACAAGCCGCGATCGCGCTCCAGAATCAGCTGTTGCTGCTGAGTTTGGGCTGCGGCGAGTTGATCCTGGAGCTTCGCGGTGGTCGCATCCGCTTCCTTCAATTTGTCACCTAGATTGACAATAACAAGTGAATATGGAGTTACTAGCAAGGGCTAAAAGAGGATCCACGTACTCATGCGGCGAAGCTTGGATTCCAGCTCCGTTTGCGTACGCTTGGCATCCGCCCACTCGGTAGTCGCCTTGTCCCGCTGGAGCTCGCTGTCTGCCAGTTTCGCTTGGATCTCGTCCCGCAATCGAGTCATACGCACGAATTCTTCAAGCGCGTAATCTCGTCCGGCAGACGCCCTCTCGAGCGACTCCTTGGTGTCTTGCAACCCCTCAGAGAGTTGAGCCAGGGCTACATCCGGCGACGAGGGAGGTGGATTTGGCGCGGGGGACCCTCCACGCGCCGACCCTAAGGCGGATCCGCCATGGGCGGATCCCACATAGTCGTTGGTCACCACCTCCTCCTGGGTCAAACGCAACTCGTCACGGAGGCGGTCCAAGTTCACATCCGCCGCTGCCCCAGCAGTCTGGGAAGCCTTCAGATCCCGCTCGAGGTCGTGGATCTGGGATTGGAGTTGGTGGATCTCAGATCCGGCGAGTGCCATCTCCCTGAGGAGATGGTCGTTGTCATCTCGCATAACGTCTCGTTGACGGGAGGCGCGATCCAGTCGTCCGGTCAGGTCGCGGATCTCTACCGCCTGATCAGCCAACAGGAGTCGCAGGTCCTGCGACCGAGAGGCCGCACGGTGCTCCCACCCCTGGATCTCCATCGCTTGGTCATGGATTTGGGCTCGCAAGGTTTGGAGTTGGGTGGCGTGCAAAGACGCAGCTTGGTCTTGGGCATCTTGAGCCGTCTGGAGCTCCGCCGTCAAGGTTTGCACCTGATCGGAAAGAGCCTGAGCTAGAACCCGCAGATCGGTGGGCGACATAGAAGACGGACTGACCGGAGGTGTGGTGGATGGGGCCTTGCCCGACGATTTGCCGGTACGCTTGGCGGGAGACATGTGTCACGAAGGGGAGAAAGCGGTTGTGGATGCTGGTAATGCACGCCGTGAACGCTGTTGTGCAGCGCCGACAACGTACAGGAGGCGATTGTGGTGAAGTGCTTTTTCAGAAATAAGAGAATGGTCCTGACGCGGGGTCACTATCCCGAATCAGTGACAATTTCAAGTGATGATAGAGGATTTGGGTTGTTTGGCACGGGTGCAAGTTGCCTGTGGTGGATTAGCCATGGCGAGCAGCGCCCCGTATGGAATGACGATGGATCTGATATGAGCGACGTACGAGAAGGCATGATCCACCAAGACTTACCTCGGATCCACCCTTACCTGGATTCACTAAGATGGATATGGGATATACTATACAAGAGTGGATCGAGTGTGGATCCTATGAAGGAAGGATGGTCGGTGCCCTCTGAAGGTGGATCTAGTAGCCACGGCTAATGAAGAGTCAAGATCCACCGCGATGTACCCCGGATCCCATACTTCCGAGTTCGGATCCAAGGAGGGAGGATCCCGCCTGGAGGGACCTGGATCCAGGGTATAGGGATGATGGATACAGTGGATCTCGAACTTTCGTGGGACAATGGAGATCACGGACGGTTGCGAGATGATGTTGGATGATTGGAGAGCTCGGATCCACGGCGAGTGTACCATTACAGCGAGGTGGATCCAAGCGACCTGGATCCGGATGAGTGTACCCATAATAGGGTGACCATGATGATTACGTCATATATCCGGTGGATCTGAAGATAACACAGCTGGGATGATGGGTCAAGGGAAGAAGGGACATGCAGCCGAGCCTGGTAAGGGATTTAGCAGATGAAAGACATAGAAGGTAGAAACCCAGGCAGGTATAGGCTTAAATATCAATACAGACTCCAATTTGCACAGTGACACGCAAGTGCCTTCCTGCCCTCAAGAACCGGAACTACATTGGCCGTACGAGCTCCGAGAAGGTTGGGAATTGCGAATCTAGTGTTGGTAGTGATAACTGGATAATACATTGGCCAGATCCTACAACCTAGTGAGCTTTTCCTTTACTTGTGCAGATCCGACAGGTTAACCGAATTTACTACTTGGTCGGTTACACCCTAGGGGCTCTCAACTCTCAAGATCCCGTCACAGGAGGCGGCAAGTACGACTTAAAGGACAACACAAAGGCAAGGGAACACACCCGCAAGGCAACCCTACGGCCAGATCCACGATCTAGGCCCCGGATCCATAAGCTCGAATATTCGCTTAGGATACGGAACCATCCACGGACGCAGAGTGAAGATTTTCCACTGCTGCTCCACCCCATCCCCACGTCTCGCCAAGACACTCAAGCTTCACCACTTGAACTCTTCGGAAGTTATCGAGAGAGCAGATCCCGCCCTACCGACGGGTACACAAGGTGAGGAAAGTTCAGCAGAACACGGATCATCGGGGGACCCCCTCCGTTAGTCGGTGTCTGGGCGCAGTTGGTAAGTTGGATCTGGCAATCTCGCAGATTTTGCTGATCCCGCTACACCACACAACATATACCACATTAGTTTCATGTTGTATATACATCATCTCACAAACCTTACCAAACTCCCAGCCGTCTACTCGCATCTTCTTCAGAGCAGCATCATCCTGCGCGAGCGCTTGCATCTCGTCTTTGGTCAGCGTGTCCCAATTGTTTGTGGTTGTGTTCCAGTCACGTCGCAGCTTGCCGATAGCTGCCTGCAGACGTCGCTTCTCCAGCTCTCTTTGGGCTTTCCTCTTGTCACGATTGAGGAGCGCTGCACCGTCCAAACTACCATCACTATCACTTGAAAGAATTTCATCTGCATCTTCGCTGAGAAGGTCGTCGTCCGTGTGCTTTGCAGACAAGTCCTGCTCCTCAATATACCAGTCATCCGAATCTTCGCCTTCGCCATCCAAGTCCGCGTTGAGAGCTCCATTATCATAATCTTCAACGGATGCATTCATAGCTGGAGCGGAAGACGTGAGTGGCTCAGTCGTGTCCATACTCAAAACCCTGTCCCAAAGTAGCTCACATCACGCGTCAATATACATCTTCTATGCGTTCACACATGCAGTATATATATCATCGCAGAAGCTACCTGGCCCGTTTTGATGTCTGGTTGGAGGCAGGGCTGTGGTTCGAGTGGTATTGGTGGTGATCTGAAACAACATAACATCAGATACAACATTAAAACAATTAGTTAATGTAGTATGTTCAGCATGTCGAGAATCACGTACTTTGATGCAGACAGCATACTCTCGTCGTCTGCATCTGAATCCTCAACTGGTTCAGCAAGGTGCGGACTGACGGTTTTCTTCTGCTTCTTCGCTGCGGGAGACTTTGACGATTCCTTCCTCCTTGCTGCTGCTAGTGCTTTCAGCGCTGCTTGGCGCGCTTCAGCCCCGCTGCGTTCTTCGTCGACCACGTGCGCACGTTCCCTTGCTTTCTCGGCATCACGTCGTGCAGATATAGACTCCACACGGGCTACAGCTTCCATTTCTTTGAACGCGTTCCTTTCCTTCGCCAAAGCTTCGCGCTGGGCCTTGGTCATCTTCTTCTTCCCTTTTTTAGTTTTTTCTCCGCTTTGGCCTTAGCTGCGAGACGAGCTGCCCGCAGCTTCTTTGCCGCTGCAATGTACGACGCCGTCTTTCCAACAGGTGGTCGGCTCGGAAGCGCCGGAATGGATTGCCCACGCGTCATAGACGTCGTCGTCTGCCTTACCTTCGTCGCAACCACCGTAGTCGTCTGCGTTGCCCCCGCGGCCTCGTTCCCAAAGTCAGCATCCGTCTCCCTCTCTCCGTTCAGGTATGCTGTGTGTTGGGCAGTCAAGCGCACCCGATCCTCCGAGCTTTTGCCTTCCAGGCGGGCGAGGAACGCTTCTGACTCGCGACGCGTTTTGCGCCGGCCAACCATCTCTGATCCCCGTTGCTTTTTCTCGAATGTGTGAAATCGGTGGATTACACGAGGCGAGAGTCAGCAACCTTTGTGACAAATCGGAGGAGTTTTGTGTGCGTGTTCTGTGCATTTTTCAGCCTAACCCTGTGCATTTCACTGTCTTTAACATGTTGTATATACAACATGTGGAAAAACAGAACCTGGTGCCCCTTTTGGTCACATGTCGTCAAATACAACCTATAAGTACGGGGGGGTTAAGGTTGAAGCAGACACCCCAATAAGATCGTGAGTCGCAAATCGTTTTGATTGGTTATTCTTCACTCGACCCCTACACTCTACTGTGCGGCAAGTTTAGCGCATGCGGGCAAATTGCCGCATGAGCGTCTTTTTATGAACTTCGTCGCATGCGACCACCTACCCCGTAAGCCAATTAGAAGACTCTATTTGTCCTCCTGCGGGCGCATGCGGTCTATATTTCCGGTTGAGAATGAGCCTAAGTGAAAAGGACAAAAGCATTGAAATGCACAATAAGAAACCGTGTCAGAAGGTTTGATTTGGTTGGTTTTGAATACGCGGTAGTGCCAGCTTTACTTTTCTGCACGATTTTGGCCCTCACAGCTGACGGTTGACTTAATTGGCTGACCAAACGTACTTAGTGATAACCCCTAATATTTATTAATATAGTATTACCAGTGCTTTAAAGAATGATCCCAGAAAAAGAGAATTGCCAAGTTCAAAATTTCCTTTGAATTTCCCATAATGTACTTGCGATAAAATAGCGAAAACACACAACAAGCAAAATAACAATCACACTCCGAAGACCGTCGGCACGACCATCCCGCCCAAGGATTCCTGCAAGTGGGAGCGCGTCCTTCATCAGCGCACATCTTGTTCTTACATATCAAAAGTGAACTCGCTCACAACCGGGAAATGGTCCGACAGATTGTACTGCGGTTGGTTGCGCCACATCCACGGCTGCGACGTGGTCAGCGGCTGGACCCAACTCGACGCGGTCGTCGGCTGACGGTGCGTGCGGGAGTAGAGAATGTAGTCCAGCAACTCGAGACTGCCGTCCGTGCTCAATCCGTCAGCCGCCAGAGCGTTGACACGTGGGTCGAAGCTGTACTTGCGCAGGTGCTTGAACTCGGCCGCCGACTCCTTCTTATCGGAGTCGGACGCGTTGCCAAGTTTCCGTGGATGCACAGCGGACGGGTCCTTCGCTTCGAAGATGTTGAGCATCTCGTCATACTCCTGGTTCGTCTTGTTCAGATGGTAGTCGACGTTCAAGTCGCCCACGAACAACACGACGTCGTTCACCTCGTCAATGTCCATCGCTCGCATAAAGTTTGCGATCATGTCCATCTGCAGCTTCCGCATGGTCCTTGACAGCGGGTCGTTCCACGCCTGCAAATGGGTCGAGAACACGTGAACCAGCAGTCCGTCCTTCAAGATCTTGCAGTACAGAACGCCTTTATCAGCCAGCTTGTCGGCGCCAGCACAAGCGCCTTCGAACAGCTTCACCCGGACACTGAGAATTGGGTATTTACTGGCTAGCAACACGCCTCCGTTGAGCAACTTGCGCATGTTGGACTTGTTAATGCGTTTATGCCCCACCGTCGGCGAGAAGAAAAAGTAGCCCGCTTCCGTCATCTTGTCCAGCAGAATGTCGCGAGCGCGATAGTCGAAGCACTCGGTCAAGACCCAGATGTCGCACGGAGGCAAGAGATCGCCAATTAGTCGCGCACGCGTGTTCTTCTTAGGAGAACAGCTCGTGAACGCGCTCACCTTGCGAGGCATCATCCAGACGTTGTACGTCCCCACACTGACGTGCACTTGACGCTTCTCAAGATGTGCCAGATACCGCGTCGACTCCTTGGCCATGCACTTGAGATCGCCGTCTTCACGCAACGGCACGATCGTCGTCGGTGTCGCCTCAGTCGTCAAGTACAAATCGCTGTCCTTGTAGTATTCTCGAGGCCGAATTCCACACGCTCGACCGTTGTACTTGGCCACCACTGACATGGGCTGTCCCCAGCGTAGATATTCATCGCTCGGAGCCACCGGAAGGCGATAGTTGCTGCCCGTTGTCTGGTGACGGACCGGCTCCACTGTGGCCACGTAATACTTCCCCAGAGGGTTATTGAACGACATGTTGGGCAGGTCTTTCATCAGTGCTTTTTGTCGACGTCTCAGCTCCTGACGGTCGCGTTGACGGTCACGCTGTTGCTGTAGCGTGTCGGTAATATCGGAGACCATGTTCATGTAGGACTCGGAGATGGATCGGTAGAAGGCATTGGACCTCGAGCCTTGGATGGCCGATGCTGAGGAGCTCGCAGCACGACGACGACCGCGACCGGACGACGTGTTGGTTGTGTCTGTGATGTTGACGACAGACGCTCCGATGGCATCGTCACCGTAGGAACAAGTCGGTTGTTGCGTCCTTGGGTCACTTATCGCCGCTCGGAACGCTGCAGCAGATGCGCTGGATAAGTCTAAGCTACGCCGCTGACCATTGTACTGCATCGATCGTGCCGACTGCTGCTGCTTGCGGCTGCGTGGACGATGCTTGTTGGTCGGATTAAGGTTCTGGAGCTTCCTTCCTCTCGGGTAGTTGGTCAGAACGTGCGCTTGACGCTGACTCGGCCCTTGGTTCTGACTTTGGTCCACCAAATCGACCATAAAATCTCCCTGACTGGTCGATTCTGCAGCTTGTTCGCTCGATTCTGCTTCCTGTTGGTCCCTAGTCGTAGGGTCCGCCACTGTCGCTCTCAAGGCTCCCACTTCTCCGTTATTGTGGCTAGTGTTACTAGACGAGACAAGCGCCGACTGGGGTCTTGTTGATCTTTTGATAGCGTTGAGATGCACAGCCGATTCCTCCATAGCAAACAGACTGGCTCGTACTTGTCGATGGAAAGTCAAGTTCACAGGCGGCTTACTAATCGTCACAGCTCCTCTGTGTGTCAAATACCTGATAGCTCGGCCCGTTTCCGCGTGGACTACTACCAGCGGAGTCCCGAATTTAACAGGCAGACCGACACTAGAGAAGACGAGTTGTTGCTTCTTTGGGTCGAACTCGAACAGTCGAAAGGCCACCGACCCGTGGGCAGCTTTGGATCCTCCGACAGGATCGTCGGGCTCTCCTGCCACGCCGCTAGTTGTGGTGATGCGACTGGAGGTTAAAGTTGACTGGGTTTTGCTGCGAATGTCTCTATCTCCGCCTAATAGAGGGACGTTGTCTAGCGTCACAACCGATGGGTCCTCGGAGCCGATGAGATCGTCCTCGTTGTAGATCTCGGCACCGAAGAGCGCGGCGTAACGTTTACGGAAAAGTCCCTTACGCCACACAAAGAAGCCGGCGATGCCCATGAGTCCGCCTGTGGCGAGTGTGGAGGCGGCCAAAAGCGCCATCTGCTGGTATGTTAAGTTGAATTTGTGGGTGAGCGCGAGGAGCTGCCCCTCGCACAGGAAGGCGACGCGGTCGCCATAGCAAATGTATTCGTCCATGTCGGTCATGATTGGCACTGCGAAAGGCACGGAGTCAGTCACGGTGTTGTTTGAATTCAGAGGCAAACCTCTTTGCCACTTACGGTCGCTCTTGGCGTGTGGTGCGCGCTGGCGGCGCGAGTTGCTCTGGAGGAGCGGAACGTCCGCGTCCTCGACGTTCGGCATGCTGTCGACTGCGCTACGTCGCCACGACGTTGGCGTAAACCCTCAGGATGGTCGGTCGAGTGTGGCTTTGAGTTTGCAACGCTACAGACGCCAGCAGGGGTGTGGTCTGAGCGCGGCTAGTTACTTTTGGAACTGACCGCTTTGGGCGAATAGCGAACTGTATCGAGAGCAATCCGGGACATAGGTGTCGCACGCCCAATTTGAGGTGATTTAGGTATTTTTTAAACTGTTTTTAGGATTATAGCACCATTTTTGATTTCCATTTATCGATTTGGACGACTGGTTTTAACCCTTTTTGAGCGACGACAGCCTAAATATTACTACCTTGCCTCTTTTCTACGTGGTGCAGAAGGTGGAAGTTGCATTTGTTTTGCTTTTTGCGGAAGACTTCGTAGCTTGGCGAGAAGAAGCGCTGGTTGACATTTAAAGCCGGGATAGCGACTGCGAGCAGAAGCGTCAGATATCTTCGCCACGAATGGCTCTTGCCAAGACCAACAGGGCGCACATTTTAATCTCGATTAAGTTTTGTTACTATGGTACCGGTACCCCTTCTTATCCATTCCAACTTGTAGGTTTTCTAATTACTTATTGACCGCGGAACACAATCGCTAGCCCTGATATTATCCTAACAGCCGTTAAACGAACTGTTTGCATTGAGTCCCAACTAAAAGATGCCCTTGTCCTCGTGCCTGGAGGACAGCCAGGACCAGGAGGCCACTGCCGCGTAATCGTGGCACGATTTGCTACAGTAGCCTACTGTAGCAAATCCCCAAAGATTTGGCTGATAAGGGATAATCATTTCACGTTTTGCCGCCAGGAATATCCACCGCGTGGTGCGAAAGTCGCACTGCGAATCATATGCATCTCATGACTTATACATGTACACAACGGCGGCGCCTGCAAAGCAATACATGTAGTGTATATGTACTTGTAAGTCACCGAATGACGCTGTCGGCATCGTGGCGATCATGGCTGCGCAGTGGCAGTCATTTTAAATGAAGAAATCTGCGTAGAAATCCCACCTGTTGATTGATTCAGCTGATGCAAGTCGTTATTTGTTTGCCAGACGACGGGCGCACTCCAGTGAATCCTCCGAGGATGTACCCGTTGCCGTTGTTTAACAACTTGTCCGTAGTAGGGCAGCTAAGCTGTTTTGACTCAAGTCTTGAGCCATTTCGGCGTCGTGTATCCAGCTACCACCTGCTGGTCGCTGTCACAGTGTGACTCACAAGATACATGCCGTCACCGATTGAGCCTATTATTAATACCTAAGAACTAGGTAACTTGGCAACGAATCCTACGAACTGCTATCCTCTTGCTCCATTTAGAGTTACCGTATTGTCGAAGATTCTTGAAGTAGTAGCTGTCACAAATTCCTTTCCCTTTTCATTTATCAACCCTGCTTTGCGCCTTCGAGGTTTGAAGCTTCATGCTCGATTAGAGCAACGTAACTAGTTATTAATATAGCGTGTCGAAGACGAATGTAAAGCAGTCACCGAAACGTAGACAACTGCAATTGCAACAGATCCCCACACCCTTCGGTTGGTCATATTGGAGCCACCACGCCAGCCACACCACTAACTACCTAACGTTAGATCCATGTATTACTAGTACTTAGCAGCTGTATTGAGGCTGACCGATAAATGGTACTGTATGCATCTCTTCTGGACCGCGCGTTTCTTCTTGATAATACGTCCACGTCCGTGGCGAAAGCGTCTGGAATTCGAGCTTTCGGTCCGCGGTGTTCACGCTTCGCATCTAGTAAAACCACGAAAGCACTTCGCCGGTAGCGCCTGCCCAGTCGAACGGCTGAGTTGTGTCTTGGGTAAAGTCAGGAATCTGTTCGTTGAATATGTCAAGGCTGGAGTTAAACAAGTCGCCATTGTTGGATTGTCCGCTGTTGCTGGTTGCATTGTTGGCTGCCGTCGCGGCACCGTAGTGTCGGTCGAAGAAAGCAGCCGATTGCGGCTGTGTAAACTTGGGCAGCATGTAGTGGCCGTACGCCTGCGGTGGGCCCAATCTCGCGTACACCCGTAGCTTCTCGCCAAGAAAAGGCTCATAGGGCGCCCAGAGCTCGTAGCTGCCTACAGAGGGAAGCCACAACTCGTCGTGCGAGTAGCGATAGCATAGACCGGCGAAACGAAGTTGGAATGGCTCAGACATGCGGAAGTTGGCGTGTTCATGCTGACAGCGTCCACTCTGCCAGCACTCGACGCAGCAGTCGTAATCGCTGATGCACTCGAGACACGAGAGGATTTGGTCCTGACCGACAAACTTGAGCGCAGAGCATTCGTCACACTGTCTTGTCATCTTTTGGCCTGTGACGAGATACAGAAGCTCCTTCTTGGAGATCATACCGTCCAGACTGCCCCCGAAACCCAGCAGAAATTCGATGTAGCTGTCAGCACAGCCCTGCGCTTTCTGGAAAACACGGAACTCGTCTTGTGTGATGCGACCATCTCGATCCGTGTCCATCTGCGCGAATAATGTGGAGATGTGGGTGCGTAGGAACACACCGACGCCATTAGGCAGTTGATCTCTGTCTTCGGGTGGAGGCGCCAGCATCTCCAGCATCTCCTGGGCCGGTACGAAGCGGTGAGTGGGTGGGTGTACCTCGCCACTCACTCCTCTTGGGTAGCACCTGGCACAGAGGATATATCCTCCAGCTCGGCATTCCAAGCACATGAAGCCGCGCTTGTGTTCGCCAATAGGAGCAAAACATGAATCGCAGAAGCCGTTGCCGAAGTTTAAATACCGCACGAGTGCTAGGAAGGCGCGTGCGTCTACGACACCACGCCCAGCTTGGTCATAGCGGGCGAATACGCCTTCAACGACCTTGGGAGGGAAATGGGACAGCAATTTGCCGATATCTTCGTGCTGAATGCCGCCACCACGCGCAAACTCGCGATACAGATTGGCAGCGATATCCACAAGCAATCGCTCCTCGTAGACACGCACAAAGTTCTGTAGGAGCTGTTCGAGCGTCTCCGGGTTGCTTGGAGATACAAGCTGCGGGACAACGAGAGTCTGCAGCTGCACAGGCGCGGACTGGAACGGCACTGGAGTTGCAGCGCCGGATGGAACACTCATGGGGCTGGACAATAAATTGATGAAGTCGACGATGGAGGTGGCCACACGACGGTCGGGGCCGCTGGATGAACGGTAGCGGCGCTGCTAGATGGGGCAATGGAGCAGATATTCCGGGTCAGAAAAGCTATGCTGCACGACTAAAACCTGGCATTTGTAAGTGGGTGGTTTATTTCACTGATAAAGACTGCCCTCTTCCAACCGAAATAAAATGTGCGATGTGCAAAAGACACGTCGAATTAAAATACCCTGTAAATAAATTTGGTCGGATTTGACAGACAAACGACATCATTTTTTCTAAAACAAAATTTAACACGTAAAGAAATAATTTAGGAAGCCATGTACCGGTACTGTATGGTGAGTGCACATTAAATGTTTAAAAAATGCCAAATTTTGGAGGCAAGAGATAAACCAGCGATGAAAATACTCCTCGCTGGCTCAACTTGACATCTACAGTAAGTGCAGTGAATCAATTTCGTCCGCGCTTCTCTGTGGGATTCGATATTACGCATGTACCGGTAATGCGTTGCAAGTTGAAACTGAGTGCATGCTCAGGATAAAGAAGAAGTCGGTTGTGATCTTTATGATCGAAAGCATCGAATTCACAAAAGCATTGCGCAGAACACAATCGAAGCCAACCGAAGCCGATTTTAATTGAAACGATGATACTGAAACAAGTTGTTTCGGCCACGTAAACTCGTTGTTGACTGCGAACACCGAATTCTTGCAAAAGTTGCATCGAGAGTGCTGTGTTGCGGGCCCCACTTTCATTACAAGTCGTAGCAATCAAATTGACATGTGAAACTTAAGTCAAGAGGTGAGGTAAAAGAAAACAGCTAAAAGTTGCGTTTCTTGAAGGCGTGCAACACAACCTGTTTTATTTCTAAGCTGGTATCGCTTTCATCTCCACTTTTGGTTTATCTGCATTTGCACTCTCTTCTTCTGTAGTGCATTAAATCTCGAGAGTCCTCGAGCTGATCGCGACTTCTGCACATACGATATCGCCACGGTCTACCCTTTAATTTTACTTCGCGTTAATTACATGTAGCACAGTAGGCACAATATTCAACACATTGCCGAGAATTTTTCGATAATCGCGTTTTGCACTTCAACTTCCTCATTTCTGCACATAGACACCTTCGATCGAGAGCCAGAGCTCCCAGCCTGCAACCGCCTGCACCCGCTCGGCTGGAGACCACAACTCCAGCTGAGGAAACGCTGCCGCGACGATGGTTTGGTTCTCCACGACACCGCGTTCCAAATTCACACGCACTTCCATGAACGCACCGTTGGGTTCCGACTTGAGTGTCACGACGCTTCGGAAGGCGGTCAGTCGAGTTTGCACTCCGCCTTGAGCTATCCCTGTTGGCCACCAGTAAAACTCCACGCAAATGCAATTGATTGTTGGTTCCTGTCGCTCCAGGCGATACGCTACGTAGTCGCCTCCAAAGCAAGACGAAACTCCGCCAATCAAACTTGTCAAGCCGTTAAAAGCAATTGGAGCCACACGCACTCGGCTATCACAAATAAGCCGCAACCATGCGTTGTCTCGTGACAGCACTGACGGCTCCGCTTGGACCTACACAAGACACGGCGTTAGGGTCTATACTCGGAGTAAGACATGACTTAAAACTCGTCCAACTACGCACATAAAGCGTGTGCAGCGGATCCCCAGCGGCCGCTAGCTTCAGATGCAGTAGTTGTGATAGTGCTAGGCATGATGTCCACATTGATGGTACGTCCTGGTTTGTTGGCCCTCCTGCTTGCATATAATTGTCATCGCTTCTCGCTTGTGCCACGTAAGATGACATTGAAAGGCTATCAGGCTGCAGCAACCAGTCTGCTGTCCATTGACTCGCACCTTGCATGGGTCCCCACCCCAAATACTGCTCTCTCTAATGTTAATGCACAGAGATACGTGAGAATCCCTGCACTTTTGATAAGGTCCTTTAAAGAACGCACCAGATAGCCTTCTCGTACTTGCGCTACGAAGCTCTGCCACCCCACGAGATTGCAACGTGGGATAACAGAGTCATACGCGTCAGAGGTTGCAGAAATATTTTCCTTGCTATCTTCGAGCACTATCGTGGGTCGCTGAAGCATGGCCCTCAATCCAACGCGCAGAGACTCCAGTTCTGGGTCACTGTAGACGACGCCCAGCACGGCATCGCTCAATGCCCGTACACTATGGATCGTCGTCTGAGTCGCCCGCGGCGTCTGCAGGAAACGATCCATGGCACCCCAGCATCGCCCAACACACTCGAAGTACGCTTCACGGAGTTCTTTTCCCTCATCGACAACACCAGAACCGCTGGAGTTGACGTTCTCCAGCAGCAACGGGTGGCATGCAGCCAGCAAATTTTGCACTACTTCAATGTTATCAGGTGAAAAAGCCCAAACACAAACTTCAGCCAACACAAGCAGCAACTGATCGCGCTCGGTTGTGCAGCGAGACACAGTCAGGTCTTGGGATCCTCCGCTCTTAGCCATGGACAGCAACAGCCCTGCAAGATGCGCGGCCTCACCCGATGCATATTGCCAGTGTTGTGAAATCGCAATCGTGAATGCAGCTTCCATGCTAGCCGCATTTCCGAATTTGCTCGTCGCGATGTGGGACACGAAGAAGTGGACAATTGCCAGATCAGTAACCTGCTGCAACTCGCGCTGATGGGTATCGAACTGTTGCTGCTGCTGCTTGAATCGTCGAAGAGCGATATCCCCGTGTCTAACTGGGTCGGTTGTTGACGGTTGCATCCATACTGGCCCAGACACTTTACCTTCGGAATCTGAGCTTCGACGTTCTAGCGATTGTTCATCGCAGATTTCGTCTTCTCCATCGTCCCTGCTCGCGTCACGCCAAAGCAGTTGGTCATTTCTGCGTCGGATGCTGTCAAAAACGAGTCGCGGTCCCTGGGTTTGAATCTGACTGTGCAGTGATGACCCTGACAGCGATGCATCTTCTGGCGTTAAAAGTCGGAATCGAAGACCTTCACGCTCCTGCAACTGCCGATACCGATCAAATGTGCTTCGAGTATCGTTGCTCACTTGGTTCTCGTCCTGGTCACCCCGTAAGCGCAATGGTTCGTCTGACGAGCCACCACGTGGGTCATGTTGATGTTGATGTTGGTTGTACTCTTGAAAAGCTCTTGAGATTTGGTGCTGCACAAGACTTCGCAGCCTGGAGTCAACGGGGTGGGCCGTGTCTGTCGCGTAGTGCGGCACCATCGATGCAGTTGCATCCGTGCGAGGGCCTGCAAGACCCGTGGAAGCATCCAGCGGTGCGCGACGATACGAGACCACTGTAAATGGCGGAGACGTCACTACGCAGAGCAACTCGAGTGCTCCGTCTCTTGCCTGATCCTGTTGGACGGTTCCTTGCAGGGCTAGAATCGATTCCGGCGTCCGAGTCTGGTAGAAGACGTAGGCTTTCAGCACATGCTTCGTCGCTCGCTGCACCTTATTGGCTCCACTTCCCCAGTGGTAATACCATTTGGCGTATGCCTGGCCATTTAACACGAATGCAGCTGTCTCGGGGTATGTGTTATCCGGAGAGTTCGTTGGTGGCAACGGAGGTTGCAGTTGTTGCGAGTGCTGGTGTCTGGCTGCTGTCTGATGTACGCCCTCGATCCACGGACCCTCTGGATTTGCTTCACTCTGAGAGACACTACGCAGGTACCGCAGCGAGTACGTAGTAGTACTGAGAGGTTGACCGTCGACCTCAAAGTGCGCAAAGACGAAAACGTTCGAGATGTCAAATGGTGCGAAACTTCCGCTGTCCTCCTGGTCATCCGTCTCATTATTAAAACGCAACAGCACCTCGAGCGACGACCCGCAATAGCTCCTGTTTACATGCTGCGGGCAGCAGTGAGGAAAGCACCTGAAGAAGAACGAATGAGCGATCGTTATTCACCCTGGATTAAATCTTCTTGAGGTTTCAAAGAGAGACGCACCGCAATATCTGTTTGTCGTTTTTAGTTTTTAGTTAAAAGTAGACGACAATCGAGTATTTTCAATGTAAGCCAAAGGGAGAACAAGTGAGAATTCCAAATCCACAGCAGTTCAATGCGAGATAACACTAGATTAAAGCTGTTCCGCAGTCGCGCGTTGCTCACACCTTTGTGCCGCGGTTCCGGTTGCTCCTGAGAATAACGTCACAACAGAGCAGAAAACACGATCCGGTCAGACACCGAAAAAAACTCAAGTAACGGACCAAAGCAGCCGCTAACAGACAACCAGTATGCGCATACGTGCACCAACGTCGGTGCGCATGCGGCCTCGGAAGATCAGCTGGTGGCGCTGACGGCGTCCCTGAAAGTATTTCGGCGCAACGCCCCCAGCTGATAGACGTGTGCAGTAGTCACTCACCGCTTGTATTCCTCCTCGAAGAGCCGAGGGTGCGGGCAGTGCGAGCGCATGAAGACACCGGTGCACGCGGGCAGCGTGTTCGTCATGTTGCTACAGTACCGTCACCTCTTGTCTGCTGTTTGGGTAATGAACGGTGTGAGTGGCTGACCCGCGAGAGCCGCGAGGGAGACGGGCCGCGGTTGGGAGTCGCGTTTTCAGTTGCGAAAGTCTCACTTTCTCTCGGGGTTCGTACAGTATTATTATCCGGGAAAGCCGTGGGACAACCACCACAGCGATGCCGAACTAGCCTTTATTCTTTCACCACACCCAGTCGGCTGCTATATGATACTATTTGCGTGCCTGCTTCCAACACTTTAGTGTAACAGCAAGAACACCATGAGGCTCATGATGAGCAGCGCGGATGAGGTCGGACTCTGCGGCTCCCGCGGTAGTATCGGTGTCTGCAATCCAGGCAGTCGGACTGTCGGCCGTCGGCAAACCCCCAAGGTCTCGTTTTGCGGGTCCCACACAACGACTCCATCTCGACTCGACATCCAATTCAAACGAAATCTGTTTGCAGCGGCTACCGAAGTCAACGCTGGGTATTAATAGTGGAAACGAGGCTGCTCACTTACCTAAGTGCAGGCGACTGCAACGTGCGTGCCACAGTGCGTCCGACTGCAAATGGATAGTCGGAGTGCAAAAACGAGAGGCTGCTTACTGTATGCTGTTCACGCTCTCGTAACCAGCGCAGCTTGTTCATCCACGAAAAGAGAGATCCGGCACTGCAAGTACTATTAATATTATAGAATAATACTTGTACTAGTAGTATTTAATGACAAGGAGACCTACATGACTCGTAATTAGCGCAACGAGCACCAGAACACGCTTACCACTCAACTGTCTAAAAATTCTGGACCAAAACTGAGATCTGAGAGTCGTTCAAGCTGAGTGATTCTAGACACAATTCGCTGCACTTGAGCTTCAAAACATTGCACTGAGCAGCAACTAGTTTGTCCGTGACGAAAACTGGTCTTGCTCTCGTGATAACCGTACTATATTCACGATGATAACCAAACGTATTAGCGAACTCACCCAAATAAAAGCTCCCTTTCAAATTAATTAAAATGATCATTTCAAACCCCTTTGATATTTTTAAGACTTGTGGAAGTATTGTTTTTAAAAAAAAACTGAGACCGCGCAAAACAAAATGACACTTACGAACCTAAGTACGAATCGCGATTTAAGCCATCTCTTGGACCCTTAAAAGGTACAGAATGCTTAAATCTGAAGAAGTTGTGCTCGCACAAAAATATTATCTCCATTTATGGGCCCTCGAAATGACGATACATTTAGGAGTGTTGTGAGCTCAATATTTTTTTACTTAAAAAAATCAAGTGTTATTTAAAAGCCCTTGTTAAAAGCAATTGAATAAGGGTATTAATAGTTTTACAGTTTTTTCGATGGAAGTTTACGCCAAATGTTACAGTTCCGGTTATGTGCGAAATCAATTGGCCAACTTTAAGCTCGATTATCTCGACAACTCTAAATGGTTCGTAAGTATCATTCCCCAAAATTTGTATGACAATGTGGGACACACAAGTGTTTGCGTTAGACAGAAGGTCTGACATTTTCTAAGATCTCAATTCTCTCCCCTGTTTTGTTTTGTAGTACACTAACAGCAAATCGCAATTCGCCCCGAAGAAGTCAGACCGCATGTCGAGCCGGAAATGGAAGGCTACGATTGGCAAACGTTAAAGCAAACAGGTCGCGATATCCGCGATAACACAGTGACTGCACGCTCAAGAGCCACTTATCAGAACTCTTACAGTCGTTTTCTGGCGTGGGTTACCCGCCACAAACCGCATCTCGCACCCAGGCCCCTTCTCGAGGGCCTTGGTGATATCACGGAGTGCTCGCTGCAACAACTACGCTCTTGTATCAAAGAATTTGTTTTTCAGAGCCGCAGTATTCCCCCACTGGACTTTGCGGCATTAGACGCATCTGACTTTGTTACATGGCTTGTGACGCTAGCGCGAAAGGATGGCAGTACCCTAAGCTACTCCGCTCTGAACATGCATCGGACAGGGCTGTTTAACTTGTTTCGTAACTACGGCCACACCAAGCCCAAGCGCTTAGAGTCAGAGCTCACAAACCACTTCAAAGGGCTCAAGCATAAACTTGCGAAGGACGCAGCTAATGGTGAGACCTCCGTCATGACTGGTAAGGATCCGCTCATGTTTGATCTGTACTCCTTCCTGTGCAAAAAAAAGCTCACTCATGCAGGCAAGGAGATGGCTTTTGCTACACATACATGATAATTGCTTGGAATCTCATGTGCCGCTCCTCCAACGCATTTAAAATACGCCATTCACATATGGAGTGGAGAGGCGATGCGCTACAGATTTACTTCGCTCATATGAAGAACGACCAAGGTGGTAAATAACTGCGTGACTCTCGTCATATCTACGCCAACCCGCTACAGCCAAGTATTGGTCCTATTCCTCGCTTTAGGACTATATTGGTCGGTTCAAATTTTGACGTAGTGACCTACTTTTCCCCGGCAGCAGCCAGTACGAGCGCTTTAGAAAGTGTTGGCTGCGTCTATTGGACACGAGGATGTAGCCACCGAATTGCAGCGTCAGAGTCTTAACGCCACCGAACTGGGGACTCACTCAATGCGAAAAGGCTCAGCCACGTTCTGCTCTTCAGGGTCAACTGCACGCCCACCGTCTACTGCCCTCCATTTGCTGGTCGCTCGGAGGGTACAGAACACATATCTTCGCTACGAGGCTGCTGACGACATGCACGTGGGTCGTACAGCTGCAGATCTTCCTACTTAAAGCTACAAGCTCTCGACCTTAGCTCCACATTTCGATTCACGCGACGAGGGTGCTGAGATCGGGATGAAAATGATGTTTCGAGCCCTACCTAAAAGCTCGAGTACATCGCGGAGTACTGATTAGCATCGTTGGTCTACCATTCGTCATTCCTGAACGATACTCTCTCTCCACAGCACCACATTTTTGAGACGCCTATTTTTCCAAGATGGAGATCTACTATCAGGCCTGACAGACCGAATTAGGACATGTGATGGGTGCACTGAAGCTCGTATTCGCCCAACAGAAGTACCACCCCATGTCTCGATACTGTGTGAAATGAAAGGTCTGAAGGACGGGCGGCTTGACGCGCTAGCAAAAACCTGAAGCTACGCGAGTTGATACTGTGCAGGACATTATATCTGAGCTGGAGAAACGTGCTATCGGTACCGGTACTGTTACATACGACGGTTTTCATGATGCAATTAGAGCGTGTCTTCACGATACTGGCGTTGACGATTTTGTAGAGAAGCTAACAAGCGGACATGATCCTGTCGTCGACAGTGCCACTGAAGATAGCAGTCGCCATCTCTATCACTACTGCGAGGGAAAATTTCGTCGTGTACCCGCTGATTTTACTGTCCCCGATTGCTCCGTTCGTTATGTACCCGCTGATTTTACTGTCACCGATAGCTCAGTTCGTCATGTATGGGTGCTTTGGATGTGTGGTAACAAGGCTAAGCAGGTACCGTCGCTTCGCTTACCTGACGGCCGCGATATGCCAAGCAGGATGATTCAAAAGCGTCTGAGTCAGCTCCGTTACCTGATGCTCAAGATTGAGAGCAATGCTGCATCGAAAGTTCTGCTCAGTCGCAGCCATACCATCGATGGCGCTACTCAGGTGCTTAACCAGCGTCGCTGTTGACGAAACTACTGAGAAGTCACGCAAACGACGTCGCGGGCAGCTCAGTTGGGCGACAGTAGAAAAACTGCTAAGAAAGAAAGCAAAAACAACAGCTCGTTAACGTCACACACCAAAGAGAGCGATGTTGCACACCACTTCTCTTTTGTACCCATCTATTCAGCGTTTGTACCCACCTCTCCAATTTAATACAAATTCATTTGTCTGACACTTGTCTAACGAGTTCCGTCTAGGTATCATTTTGTTTTGCGCGGTCTCAGGGAGATAAGAAAAACTCAAAACTCTTTCAATATTAAGGTAAGCTGCCAGTTTAAGTCCGTGACAGAAGGTTGAGTTTGAGAGCGCGTAAATTGCCATCGGAATCGAAAGCGATCATTTTACAAACACGTCTGTAACCATCAGGATTTCAACATTGTCTTGTGGTGCGAAGCAACGCGAACGAGCTATTTTTAGTTTGTAGTAGCGGCCTAAAGTTTGGGCCCATTTTGCAGATGTGCCAGCTTAAGTCCAAAGTTGACTTGAGTTTAGTAAAGACGACGACGTTTTACGCACGATCTCAAACGTACACTGGAATTTCTGCAAATTTCGATTTTAGCCTTATAAAATGATAATCACGAGTACGATCAAAGAATGGAGTGTATTAAAAAAAACATCTACAACCTTACGACATACATAACTGTTTCGGCTTCGCTGCTTTGTTGGGCCGACACTTCTGCATTCAGCTCCAGCTCATACCCCTGGTCCTGGGTCTGTACGCGCTGGTGGTCGTGCTCCTGCTCCTGCTTCTGCTCCTCGAGGTACTATCCTCTCGACGGTTTTTTTTGTAGCTCTCCTACTCTTCGCTGTGTATCGTTTTTGGCTCTGGGTCATTGGCTCGGAGTGTTGGTCCGGTTGCTGGAGCATCTCGCGTGCTAGCAGTCTACCTGCTACTGTCTTTGTTTTTCGTTTTCTACTCTGCTTGCGTTGACGAGCAGATAGCAGTAAGATGTCGTGACACTGTTTCCTTGTATCTTAATCAGGAAGCTGTTTTAAGGCTGGCAGAAACACCGTTGTGTTGGTAGTTGTGGAGTTTCTCGTGCATTTTTACAAGATTCAACGGGAAAATCCCACAGCTCCGAAAGGCAGAAGAAATATCTTGCTCGAAGTTGCAACTTGTCCATGCTAATGTAGCCATTTGAAGAGCTTTTTCCTGCTGATAGTATTAGTTCCGCTCGCACAAACCACCGCGTCGATGAGATCGCGAAATGTGTTCTAAATGAAAAAAAAACGCAACATCTAACGGATGCAGTAAGTGTGTGCCGTTTGCAGGGAGGCACACCAGTTTGACAAGCATCCGATCAGCGGCTATGACGATTTCGTCAGTAAT